GGCCGTGGCCCGTGGTCCTGGAGGCGGCGGAGACCTCCCTGCGCTACCAGGCCTGGGGGCTCCTCAACCTCTGCCTGGACGTCTTCACCCACGGCCTGACCCCAGAGACTGGCCCGGACGTACTGGCCTTTGCTGTGACTTACGGGCTGGCCCAGGTGGGCCGCGTGGCAGAGGACTACATCTTGGCCACCTTCCCCAGCGTGGTGGCCACACCGGCCTTTCTGGATCTTCCTGCACACCTTCTCATCCGCCTTCTCCGCTCTGATGGTCTCAATGTCCTCTATGAACTGGAGGCCTTGGAAGCAGCGTCCCGGTGGCTTATGGCCAAAGGAGATGGCCAAGAGGACCTGGCCAAGGAGGTCCTGTCGTCTGTTCGCTTCGCCCTCATGTCCACCTGCGAGATGAAGAAGGCCCGCTCGGTGACTGCAGGGGTGGCTGACCCAAAGGTCCTCCACGAGCTCATGGTGGCAGGTTTGGCCCCCACGGCCCAGCTGCCGTGCCGGGTGCGTTCCTTGCAGGAGGTGCTGGTGGTTTGTGGTGGAGAAAAAGTGACATCTAACCTGGCTTCCCGGAAGCCCAGCAGACACCTCTGGTTTGCCCACCGCTACCTCAGTGCTGTGGGGCTGGTGAAGCAGGTGGAGTGGCGAGCACTGGGACACTTTCCTGACGGCCCACGCTTCCGCCATGCTGTAGCTGTGGTGGGCAACATCCTCTACATTCTGGGTGGAAAGCACTACTATGGGGTCCATGACACCCTGGCCAGTGTCTACAGGTGAGTGCTACAGAGAACTGAGAGGTGCCATGTGGCATCAGGACATTGTGTGTTCAGAGGAGGTGTTGGTGGAGCTAGAGCTGGCCATGGGTCCCCACGGTATTTTGTGTCTGGTTGGGCACTAGACTGGGAGGTTCCTGCCCACTCTGGGGGGTTACAGGCTTTGTGGGTAACATGGAATCATAGAATATGCCTGGAAGGTTGGAAGGGACCTTCAAAGGTCATCTAGTCCAACCCCCCTGCAATAAGCAGGGACATCTCCAACTAGGTCAAGCTGCTCAGAGCCTCATCCAGCCTGACCTTGAATGTCCCCAGGGATGGGGCCTCCACCACCTCTCTGGGCAACCTATTCCAGTGGTCTATCACCCTTGTATTGAAGAGCTTTTCCTAATGTCTAACCTAAATCTGCCCTTTTCTAGCTCAAAGCCATCACCCCTTGTCCTGTCACTCCAAACCCTTGTGAACAGTCCCTCCCCTGCTCTCCTGTAGCCCCTCTCAGGGACTGGAAGGTCACTGTAAGGTCCCCCCGGAGCCTCCTCTGCTCCAGGCTGAACAGCCCCAACTCCCTCAGCCTGTCCCCACAGCAGAGCTGCTCCAGCCCTCCCAGCATTGCTGTGGCTCTGCTCTGGACACGCTCCAAGAGCTCCACGTCCTTCTTGTGCTGGGGCTGCAGAGCTGGACACAGACTCCAGGGGAGGTCTCAGAGGGCAGAGCAGAGGGGCAGGATCACCTCTCTCCCGGTGCTGGCCACAGCTCTGGGTGCAGCCCAGGATTTGATGTCATTGTGCATTGGTGGCTCGTGTCCAGCTTAGTATAGGCCAAGGAGGCTTCTCTCTGGAGATACCTCAGGGCACTACGGGTGTGGTGTCAGAAGAGTCCCGTGGATGTTCCCATGCCATGGCCCAAGCCATGGTGGGACTGGCTGGTTGTAGGTGGGTTGTTGCCCTCGGCGGTGCCCACGTGGGCTCGTGGCGTTGCGGGTAACGGGCAGTGTTCACCTCTGCCCCCAGGTACCAGCCTATGGACGACTCCTGGGAGCGCCTGGCCAGCATGACCTGCGGGAGGAGCTACTTCCCTGCCGTGGCGCTGGGGGAGTTCATCTATGCCCTGGGGGGCAGCTCCGGGGAGCTCTACTGCACCAGCACTGTGGAGTGCTATGACCTGACCAATGACACCTGGAGGTGAGGCCCCTCCACGCAGACACCTGCTGTCCTCTGCCCTAGGAGGCCCTTGTGTTGGCCAGCGGTGCCCACTGAGTGCTCTTTGGGTCACAGAGCCTCCAGTGGAGGCTGGGCCTACAGTGGCCTTTGGGACAGGTCTATGGGGTGTTGAGCAGCCCTGTCCCCTGGGGGTTGTTGGGTGTTGGCCAGTGCTGCTGATTGGGTGGTAAATTAATTTGGACTAATAACATTATCTGAGGGTCCGTTGGCCATTGCCAATGAGACAAACCATTTCAACATCTTCCAGCTACCTTCACTGGGTGCTCTGTTTGGTGTTGGCCAATACTGTCCATCAGGGAGTCCACTGTGGGTTGACCAACGGTACCTTTTGGGGTCTACAAAGTGTTGAACAGTGATGCCCCTGGGGCAGCCATTGTGTGTTAGCTGGTGCTGCCGAGCGGGCAACGGATCCATGGCTGGCCAGCCCTCCTTCGCCCCCCCTTCCCCGGCCCCCTCTCTCCTTGCCAGGAGGTGCCAGCCCCTGCCGGTGGCTCTGTGCGGGCACGCGGCGTGTGCCCTGGATGGTGCCCTCTACGTGTCCGGGGGGTGCGATGAGACGTCCCAGTGCCGGGCGTCCTTGCTGCGCTACATTCCGGGGGGCCCTGCCACCCCCCTGGCCCCCATGAACGGCCAACGGGCTGGCCACGTCATGGAGGAGGCGGGCGGGCAGCTCTACGTGGCCGGGGGGGTTTGCCAGCGGGCCGGGCCGACCGGCTACCACGACC